AAAATAAAAGTTCAAGGACTAAAATGCATATACTCAAAAATTATGTCGGGACTCACGATGAAGGTTCGAGGGTGCTAAGGGTCGGCTGGAAGCAATTAGAAGTAAAAAAGGAATGAAATATGATAAAAATATTTTCACAAATTAATTTTCAATCATACAAGTATGCTCTAGATTTTTAGGTCGAGATTGAGAGCCCCTTTTGACTTAGTAAACGTTCAAATTGAAAAAAAGCTACATCCAGTAAAGTTGTAACTCTTTGAGTTATCTTTACAATCCAATTTGAATTGCCTCCATTAGATATCGGGAGAGAAAGTATGATAAAAATACTGAAAGAAGCACAGCGCAGATTCTTACTATAGAGCTGTGGCATCGCAGCTGTTTGGATGTATTTAGGGCACGTTTTTGGTCCGTTTTGAAGCCCCATCAATGGATGAAATTGTTAAACCTTAATATCTATTCCATATTTGAATTTTCAATCGATCTTTGTGTGCATTTTGATATTTTCAATTAGTAGATATAGCCCCTATTTGATACCAATTTTTTAAAAATATATTTATGTCTCACTTCTTTTCAATCATACATTTTTCAATAAAATAATATTACATGTAACCCCAATTTTTTTTCCTTTTTAACCATATATTCTCCATCAATTTATTATTTCAAAATGCATTTTACACTAAAAATAAGTCTCAAGCAGGCTCATAGTTAGAAAAACAATTACCAAATCACAATTCTTTATTTTTCATCAAGTAGAACTTAGAAATAAAAAATTAAGCATTAAAAGTATAGTCCTTATGAAAACGATAATCTGGATTCAAATGTCTATTATATTATTTGTTACGATATCGTACACTTGTGATATAAAAAAAAATACAACACATAGCGTTTTGAGTAGCATAGATCTGCAATTATTAAGAATTCGTAGTATCGTTTCTTACAAGATGGTTGCATGCGTCTTGGTACTTATTGACCAAAAGTCAGGGACAAATTTATCTTTACGTAATGTAGTTTTCCAACCCTACCAAAGAATTCCATGTGATGAAGAAAAAAAAGAAAGAACGGACTTTTCGCCAACTTCGGCCTTGTGGGCAATCAAACCTTGAAGGGCCAAGCATGACTAAGTGTCACGTAGTGAGAATGCTTATCTCTTCATTCGGCATGACAATGAGAGGAAAGCTGCCTTGAGTTGTGGAACATCGGGAGCCAAACCTGCGATCTGTGAAAGTTGGTATCATAACAGGTCAAGCTCGAGCATGCGTTGTTGATTATGGAGTCAATGGCATGCATTCTTGCGGAGAAAGATTTTGGGCCACCGATCGTGTCGGCAAGTTGGCAAAACACTATGAAGGAAGCTGTGAGGAAGAAGGATGAAAAGGGCAGCCTTGCGTGATTGTGCCTATGTGCCTTTCAATGGGTTTCGTGGAGAGGACATTGCAAGGCACAATGATAAAGATTGTGTATTTGCTCCGACATGTGCTGAGGTGCTACGATTTGGAGGCTGTCCATCCGATGGACTAATGCTTAGAGGTGCATGAGGTGAATGTTGGTGTTGAAGGCAATAAGTACGAGTTACTATGGGTTAATGTGCAAGGGAGATGTGTGAATGCTCGTCCATGTGGAGGTGGTGCTATTGTTATTCTTGCAATAAGAGGGATGTCTGTTGATGCAAAGCTCACTTCTCGCTAGAAGGGAGTAAGTGGATTCAAATTGCAGAGAATTTCACGCAGTGAGAATACTTATCTCTCCATTTGACACGGCAAGGCCGCTAATAACTAGGTGTATGACCTATTTTGCCAAAAAGTGCACTAATTTTATGATCATATGAAGTGTGGAATCTCGGGAGCCAAACCTGTAGTATGTGAAAGCTGGATGACTGACCAACCATGTGATGTGCGTTTACTGAAATATTTTCATTTGCCCTTTTAAAAAAGTAAATTATTTTTTAATAAATACGTTAAGAAATTTTTTAATTACTTCAAATTTTAAGTAATGGTTTCAAAAAAATAAAAAAATATTTTTTTTTAACAATATGGTTGACATATGAGACAACTAAAGATTATCTCCAAGAAATTCTTTAAATAGAAGATCATTTTTATTTTAAAGAGTCAACCCTTAAAATTACGTTCCAAAAAACTTTTCAAATTAAAATTTTAAAATAGAGAATGAGTTTGACTGTGTAATCCACTCTTTATAATTAAACGCATTCAAAATATTTCAATTTTCAATATAGAAAAATAATAAAATAATATGGAGGGAAGCTAGTCAAAAATAGAAAAATGTAAATAATTTTTGGAAATAGTAAAATTAAATGTTAAAGATTGAGAGCCTGAAGGAGTACTTAAAATATTTTACTCTTTAGATTTATAAATGTTCTCTAAATTTCTAAATATGCTCTTTAAAAATAAAAATGGTAGTTATATTACCATCACAATTTTTATTTGATACACTACATTTTAATTGCAATTAAATTTCTCAATTTTTGCTCATTGTAACAATTATTTTCCTAACTTTTTTTTTTTCGTTGAATTCTTATTTTAACGTTCTATTTATTAGTACGTCTCGTCTTTGATAATAATTAATATCAAAATGTTTTTCTTCATACTCTGAAACGGGAGAAAAATATTTTTCTGCACTTTTTATTTTTATTTTTTAAGAATATGATCAAAAAATAAATTATTTTACGTCATTTTGTTCGACTTTTGAATATAAAACTATTATCAAATATAAAATGTATTAACTAACGAAAAGTTCGAGGATAAGAATGACATGAAAAATTTTTGGGGGGCAGAAGTACTATAATGAACAGAGATTAAGAATTTTAAGGGAAATTAAAATGTGATACAACAAATAAAAATTATAGTGTAAATATAATTACCCAAATAAAAAAGTGTATTGGAGAAACGTGGGTTAATTTGTTCCGTCGGCATATATGTAATAATAATAAAGCTGAAAGATAAGTTAACCAGTGGTGGTGTTTTTGTGGATTCAAAGCACTGCCCAATTGCACAAATTGCAGAGTCCAAATTCCAAACAACACGACAACTGGCTGCATTGCACTGCAGCAAGTGGGTCCCATATCAAGGGTGCTCATTGCCATTGGGGAAAATGCTTATAAATAAAGCGCATCCTTCCCCGAGAAACCTTGCAACACCAAAGGCCGGCCGATTTAACGGCACAAAAACGCACACAGTGTTCTCCTAGAGAAAGAGAGGGGAAAGTTTTCCTTTCAGGTAATTCTTCTTCCTCATCACAATATATATACACACACGTATGTGTAAGTAATGGTTGCTGTGTTATGTTTTGGATTCTGAAATAGGATTGGTTCGATTAGTATGAAAAATGTGAGTAGATCTTGATGTGGGTTGAAGTGTTTGTGTTTGTTAATGGCTTTACTTTTCAGAATTTATGCGAAATGTGCATTATTTTTAGCTCAGAATGTGAAAAATGCATTACGAGACTAAGATTTTAATATACAACAGAATTCTTCACGTGCTTATGAAATTTAGATCTGAAATTTGTGGTGTCTAATTATTATTGTTCCGCCGATTCCGTAGGCGAATCACCAAAAGTGGTGAGGCCGTCGTGGGGTCGGGAACTCTCTTCCTGGGGTCTGCAGAGCAAAATTTTATCAAGGGCGATTTAGGAGTATGTGTTGAAAATTCCATCAAAGGAATTTGAGTCTTGTAAATTTTGATTTTGCTCTAATTTGTCTTATAAATAGGGAATCATCATTAGACTTTTGAATTACCATCATAAAAGAAAGGAGAGAAAGAAAGGTATATGCATGTGATTTTCTTTTGTAAATTTCTTTTTATCGTATTAAACTACCGCCACAACGAAAGAGAATATTAGTCTTATATTGAGATGAAACTGTATAAATCTTGTATAAATTTTTTTTTCTGATAATTGATTGCTTGGTGAAATATAATTAGGTTTTCTAATTCTCAACAAAATTTTGTTTCTTTGAATGCTTTTCAATGTCTTGTTTTTGGTGGCTCTGTCGTTAATAGTTTCTTTCTATATTTGTGTTAAAAATTCTTAATAGAACTTAAAAATGATAGGAATTTTTTATTTGAAATTTCATACTTTTCATTGCTGCAAATGAAAGTGCACGCATTTTCACATCTTCAATTGTTGAAGACAAGATTTAAATGAATACATTGAAGATGAGATTTAAGTGAATACAAAGGACATCTCTCTAATACTTTAATCTTTTTAGACGAGATAATTAACACGTGTTTTTCTTAGCAACTTTCATTGCTGAGAAACGACTCTTTTTTGAGTGAGATGGACAAATCATGAAGCTTCTTCTTGATTCAAGACTGGATTTAAATTCTACTAAGCCTATATTTAATACCCATTTTATTTTCACAACCTTGAATGCTATTGCCATCGTTTTTAAGGCATAATGTATCATTTCTTTAATCATGTCTAGTCGAACACCCTACATAAAAATTAAGTGTGGAGGAAATTTAAGTTTGTCCAGTCGTTCCAACAAAAAAGGGTACTTTCTTAAACCAATAAATATGAACACAAGCTTAGAGAATTTTGCATTTGGAAAGGCCCACATGTAGTCCTAGTTCATGAATTATTATTCTTTTTTCCGAAACTGCAAAGTGGAAAGTGACCTGTCCCCAACCCATTTTCAAGATTAAAGTTTCCTAGTTGCTCATGATCTTTTATTAATCAAATCAAACATACTATGATTTTGTCTCAGAGAAAATATCTTGAATGACTAATCAATTTAAAAGGCTATCACCTATAATCTTTTCTTTAAGAAAAGATAATCATTTTAATGGGTTTTACCTCATCTTTTCTTGTTGTCCATTCCAAAAGGTCGGCGTCTAATTTCATATAAAAAATCATGCACTGCTAGTGGGTAGACTGATTCTTGTTAGGAGAATACTTTCTTGCTACATGTACATCCATTTTTTTATCTAATCTTTTACATACACTCACAATAGGGTGTGGGGACCACACATTTGAGAATTTTTTATTGGACAATTCCATTTGTACCGGAAATGTTACACCTTCTCACATGCACGGGCCCACATAAATAAAAAATTCCCAAATGTATGGTCCCACACCCTATTGTGAGTGTAAGTTAAAGATTAGGTAAAACGGTAGATATATATGTGGCATTATCCTTTTTTATTTATTCGGGCGCGTGAGCATGTGTGAGGGTGAAACAGTTTTGGTACAAAAAATTTGGTATCATGTACTTGGTGCTACTGCAATAAACGTGCAGATCCGAAAGTGCAGATCCGAAAGTTGTTGATTTTTCAAAGTCGTAATCTAAATAGTAAATAGTGTTAAGTTTTACTGTTTTCCAGAGTTATTAATTTAATGAAGAACCTTTTCCTTAAATTGAAACTACAATCTTCTTTGGTTTCTACTTTTACTCGGAACAGTATATTATATAGTACTTATTCAAAGGATGGTTGGTTGCAGTCTTCTTAATGTTCAATTTTGAAATAGCTGTCTAGACTGTTTCGATGTTTGACTCTTTATTCATAAATTTAGGTGTTTGATTGATTTGGGTATGTTCATAGTCGTGTAAAGGTTTGACAAGTAATATGGAATTAACAGTAAAATATTAGTTAGCCGCTCAGAAGATAGTTTACTTTTCAAAGGTATGAATTTTTTTGTAATACTTAGTCTTACGTTTTCAAGTCCTTTTGCTCTAAGATTTCGCATAATTTGATTGCCTACAGAGGTTCATATTTCTCAAGCCGTATGGTTACTGATTTTTGATATATTTGGCAGGAAGGACTGAATAGTTGTACGGTACTAAGAAAGAAAAGAAAAGAAAATTTTGTTCATTGTATTTTTGAACATGTGCTTATTTTCTGGTCTTACCTTTTGCAACTAACATTATTCTCACAGTTCTCTTTCATATTACAGGTCACTGAACAATGGGTGCTGGAGGCAGAATGTCCATTCCCCCTGAGGGCAAGAAGTCGAAATCTGATGTTGTCAAACGAGTTCCTCATTCAAAACCACCGTTCACACTTGGCGACATCAAGAAAGCCATCCCGCCCCATTGTTTCCAGCGATCCGTTCTCCGTTCTTTCTCCTACGTTGTTTATGACCTAACGATCGCCTCTCTCTTCTACTATGTTGCTTCCACTTATATCCAGTTCCTCCCTTACCCTCTCTCCTATTTTGGTAGGTTACTTTACTGGATATGACAAGGTTGTGTACTAACCGGTGTTTGGGTTGTTGCCCATGAATGTCGTCACCATGCTATTATCCCTTACCCTCTCTCCTATTTTGGCTGGTTAATTTACTGGATATGCCAAGGTTGTGTACTAACCGGTGTTTGGGTTGTTGCCCATGAATGTGGTCACCATGCTTTTAGTGACTACCAGAGGCTAGACGACACCGTTGGCCTAATCCTACATTCTTTTCTCCTTGTACCATACTTCTCGTGGAAATACAGTCATCGTCGCCACCACTCGAACACGGGTTCCCTTGAACGGGATGAAGTTTTCGTACCCAAAGTCAAGTCAGGAATCCGATGGTTTTCCAAGTATCTTAACAATCTACCAGGTAGAGTTCTCATACTCGTCTTCCAACTTACTCTAGGCTGGCCTTTATATTTAATGTTCAATGTCTCGGGGAGACAATACGACCGTTTTGCATGCCACTACAACCCCCATAGTCCCATTTACTCGGATCGAGAACGTGCTCAAATCCTCATTGCTGATGCTGGTGTTCTTGCTGTAACTTATGGGCTTTACCGTCTTGCGGCAGTCAAAGGACTCGCTTGGGTATTCTGCGTGTATGGTGGTCCATTGCTTGTGGTGAATGGATTCCTTGTGTTGATAACATATTTACAGCATACACATCCGGCCCTGCCTCACTATGACTCGTCCGAGTGGGATTGGTTAAGGGGAGCGTTAGCCACAGTAGACAGAGACTGGGGAATTCTGAACAAGGTATTCCATAACATAACTGATACTCATGTATCACACCATTTGTTTTCAACCATGCCACATTATCATGCAATGGAGGCAACAAAGGCAATTAAGCCGATATTAGGGAATTACTATCAATTCGACGGGACACCAATTTTTAAGGCCATGTGGAGAGAAGCGAAGGAATGTATTTATGTTGAACGAGATGAAGGTGATCTGAACAAAGGTGTCTTCTGGTACAATAACAAGCTTTAGCTTTTGATGAAGATATAGCGGCATAGTGCAGGAAGCAAATTTCTGGTTCGTTCTTAGTCTAGATTTTGCTTTCCTATCTTGGTTATTTTAGGTTGGTTTGATTGCTTTGTACTGCATCACTAATTTTTTATTTTTATTTTTATTTTTAATGGGATTGAAACTCGTTGTTGAAGGATCAAATGAGCTGAATTAATTTCAGTATTTGTATTACATTCCCTTCATGGAGCAGCCTCAGTTTGGAAGTTGAAATCCACACCAAATATATAAAAAAAAACTTATTATTAAGGAATTATTTTATCACTTAAAAGTATATCTGCGAGTTATACCCACAGCATGTTTAGTGATACAGCAAGTAAAATTTGGCAGTAGGACCTACTTTACTGCCAAGAGTTGGGCAGAAAAGCAACTTTATTATAAGGGAAAAGAAGCAAAGCCAAACATGCTCTTTCTTGACTTCGAAAAATCTTCTTGTTTAGGGGCCTGAGTACTTTGTGGGCTTCGTACAAGAGCCCAAAATATCTCTGAGGTCTAAATAGGGCCACAAGCTCATTTTGTGTAGGGAAGAATACATAAATAAGGCTTTTACTTTTACCCATTTCGAAAATACCAAAACATATTTTAAATTTTAAAAATCAGGATTCTTTAAATTTTTAATTATGAAATAATAATTATTAAATTAATTTATTATTAATGTTTAATTCTATTATAAAATAATTAACTTACCCCCACCTCCACCACCCCTCCACCTCCGGGGCTATTCCAGCGACCTTTCCGATCACCATTCTTCTCCGNNNNAAAATTTATAAGTCACAATACTTATTTAGGTCACAATTTATCAATTTATTGGTCACAATTAATAATTTTTAAGTCACAAATTAATAATTTTTAGGTCACAATTAATAATTTTTTGGTCACAATTAATAATTAGTGGTCACAAACAATCAACTTGTTTGTAACCACCACCAAAATCGTTTGGGACCACCACTAAGTCACAAATCACATGCAGAACACATAACCAACACCACCCAAACACGGAACCACAGCAACCACTGCCAAACATCAACCATTAAAATCACCATACCCATCCAATCAAAATCAAAATCGAAACTAAAAAAATAAAAAATAAAAAATTAGATCTGCAGCGGCGTTGTGAGCGTCACACATTCATGGCGCCCCGCCTACTTCAAATTCACGAGGCCGACGTCGATCCATACCATCAACAAAAAATAGACAAATCACGACCATCAATCCGTAATACCCCGATCCACCGCCACAGATCTGCAAAAATCAGACCAACAACCCAACAATTGCCCAAATCTGCTGTGGAAAACTCCATCTCCACCTGCACATTTCCTCCAGATTGCTAATTAAAGAGCGGCGGCGGTTGGCAGAAAAGAGGGAGGAGCGGAGTGACGGCGGTGGCTTCACAAAGAAGGGGAGGAGAGGAGAGGAGACGGCGTGTCGTCGCTGCTTCGAGCGCCGCTTTGAGGTTTGACAGGGAGGACACGATGGCTGTGGAGGCGGCAGTCGGTGGTTGATGTTGTGTTACCGTGTGTGAAGAGAGTGGATAATGGCGAGAGAGTGGAGATATGGGTGAGAGACGGCGACGGGAAGAACGACAATGGAGGAATGGGTAAGACGACGACGGCGTGGCGGTGGAGAAGAGAGTCGGGAGGAAGATAGGATATGGGTTAATGATTTTAGGGTTAGGGCTAGATATGGTGGGGGTATATAGAAATTAATTTATTGTAAATAAAAATATCCCTTACCCTCTCTCCTATTTTGGTTGGTTACTTTACTGGATATGCCAAGGTTGTGTACTAACCGGTGTTTGGGTTGTTGCCCATGAATGTGGTCACCATGCTTTTAGTGACTACCAGTGGCTAGACAACACCGTTGGCCTAATCCTACATTCTTTTCTCCTTGTACCGTACTTCTCGTGGAAATACAGTCATCGTCGCCACCACTCGAACACGGGTTCCCTTGAACGGGATGAAGTTTTCGTACCCAAAGTCAAGTCAGGAATCCGATGGATTTCCAAGTATCTTAACAATCTACCAGGTAGAGTTCTCATACTCGTCTTCCAACTTACTCTAGGCTGGCCTTTATATTTAATGTTCAATGTCTCGGGGAGACAATACGGCCGGTTTGCATGCCACTACAACCCCCATAGTCCCATTTACTCGGATCGAGAACGTGCTCAAATCCTCATTTCTGATGCTGGTGTTCTTGCTGTAACTTATGGGCTTTACCGTCTTGCGGCAGTCAAAGGACTCGCTTGGGTATTGTGTGTGTATGGTGGTCCATTGCTTGTGGTGAATGGATTCCTTGTGTTGATAACATATTTACAGCATACACATCCGGCCCTGCCTCACTATGACTCGTCCGAGTGGGATTGGTTAAGGGGAGCGTTAGCCACGGTAGACAGAGACTGGGGAATTCTGAACAAGGTATTCCATAACATAACTGATACTCATGTATCACACCATTTGTTTTCAACCATGCCACATTATCATGCAATGGAGGCAACAAAGGCAGTTAAGCCGATATTAGGGAATTACTATCAATTCGACGGGACACCAATTTTTAAGGCCATGTGGAGAGAAGCGAAGGAATGTATTTATGTTGAACGCGATGAAGGTGATCAGAACAAAGGTGTCTTCTGGTACAATAACAAGCTTTAGCTTTTGATGAAAATATAGCGGCATAATGCAGGAAGCAAATTTCTGGTTCGTTCTTAGTCTAGATTTTGCTTTCCTTTCTTGGTTATTTTAGGTTGGTTTGATTGCTTTGTACTGCATCACTAATTTTTTATTTTTAATGGGATTGAAACTCGTTGTTGAAGGATCAAATTAGCAATTAATTTCAGTATTTGTATTACATTCCCTTCATGGAGCAGCCTCAGTTTGAAAGTTGAAATCCACAACAATTATGAATAAAATAACTTATTATTAAGGAACTATTTTATCACTTAAAACTATATCTGAGAGTTATACCAACGGCATGTTTAGTGATACAGCAAGTAAAATTTGGCAGTAGGACCTACTTTACTGCCAAGAGTTGGGCAGAAAAGCAACTTTATATAAGTGAAAGAAGCAAAGCCAAACATGCTCTTTAATTTTAGGGAAAAATTCATAAGTAAGAGGATAAGAGCTTGTTTGGTAGACATTAAAATCGGATTAAAATTGAAAAACTAACCGTTATTGTTGACTTTTATTAGACGAGTGAGACCCAATAACGGTAATATTTTCAATTTTAATTGTATTAAAATTCCTCCCAAACAAGCTGTAAGTATCCCCTATTTTAAAATTAAGAAAACAAGTTTGGAATTTCAAAAATTAGATTTTTATTAAAATTTATTATGATTTAATTAATTAATTATAATAATATCATAATTATACAATTAATGGTCACATGTACATAATCAATTGGTCACAGATTATTTTTGAGGTCACAAATCAAAAATTTTATACGTCACGAATTATTTTGAGGTCACAGGTCAAAAATTTTATAGGTTACAATTTGTTTATCGGTTACATATCAAAATTTTTGGAGGTCATGGATTATTTCGAGGTTACAAATTAATAATTTTATTGGTCACAGATTATTTTATTAGTCACGGATCAAAAAATTACAGGTTAAAAATTAATTTTTAGTCACAAATTGTCGAATTTTAAGGTCACAGATAGTCCATTATGCGGTCACAGCTAGTCTAATCTATGACCACCGTCAACAGTTATGACCACCAGTTCAACGCCGTCTCTAACAGCATCACCACCACCGTCACCACTACACCAACAGCACCCGCGCAACCACCAGATCCACCACCATCACCCACCTCCACTGCGGCTAGAAACCACCACGACCACAGCCAGATATACCAAAAAAATAGATACAAAATCGCCAACACCCCACAACCACCATCACCTCACTGCCGCCTTCGCCACGTCACCACTACGTCAAGATTTGAAAATCAGATTTTTCATCATTTTGCACCAGATCGCCACTCAACTCCGACGACATCGCCGCACACACTTCCGCAGATCATTCCCCAGTTTCCCTACCATTCAGCACCAAATCGTGACCTAACTCCGACAACATCGCACTACAATAACCCACAATAAAACCCACACAACCTGGTCACAACCCAACTTCGGCGAGAAGCTAAAGAAAAGGAACAGCGGCGGGGGAGGCGCGAGGCCTGGGCTTCGGAGCGAAGAATATGGAACCCCACCATCATCACCGAACTGTACCCACCACTGGTTGACGAATGGTGATTTCCCATTTTTAAACGGCGATTTAATAATCATATTTCCAATTCTGATTTCCTCCACTATATCGCCAGTCTGGAGCATGTCGTCGGCCCATTCGTCCGCCTTTGAACTTCCCTTTAAGCATTCGATTGAAAGCACCACCGCCTTTGAAGTTCCTCGTCGTGGCTGCCGGTGGGTAAGGAAGGCAGAGAGAGAAGGACGGTAGAGAGAGATGAGAGGTAGAGAGAGAATGATTTAGGGGAAAATGAGGTGGGGGTGGAGGTAGGTAGGTAGGTAGGGTTGATTTGGAATTAATTAGGGTTTGGAGTATATATATTTAGTAAAAATATTTATTTTATAAAAATATTAATTAAAATAAAATTTCTGATTTTTGATAGAAAAAAGATCCCACCTGATTTTAGAATTGAGATCTCCAAAAATAGGGTGAGATGTAATTTCCACTTAACTTTAATCTTGACTTCGAAAAATCTTCTTGTATAGGGGCCTGAGTACTTTGTGGGCTTCTTACAAGAGCCCAAAATATCTCTAAGGTCTAAATAGGCCCACGAGCTCATTTTGTGTATCGCGGTAGCAATTCACAATAGCTCAAAGAGTTTACTAATTCCATATTTACATTTATCATTTTTTTTTTTACTTTTAAATTTAAATTTAAATTTTTTTATAATAAATTTCGTAACAAAGTATGTTAAATTTTGTAAAATCATTTTATACATATTTCACTAGTGGGTATTCACAACCGCTGCAGACTTCTACCACTACCATCTCCGTCATCACTTATAACACAATGCGTTATCCACATTTTGTCCTCTATTTTCATCTTTGGTCACTGAGACCACCATCACTTGTAACATTTATACCATCATCACCACGGATTGTACTAAGAACACATTCGATCCCATCATTTGTAACATTCATTGTTATATTACCATCACTGCTAATATCACTTATAACATTTATTGTTACACTACCACATTTAGACCACACCACCTTTGTCATTACTATCATTATCACCACATACAATGTTACACCACCACTATTGACGTTGTCACCCATGTTACACCCACCACAATCGACAACATCACCGCCAACAAACTCCACAAACTAACATGCCATCATGAACTACTAAATCTAGCACCGCCATCGCTATAGCTACCTACACGCAACAAGAGAAACATACACACCACCACAATACCCAAATCTGTCATTGTTGTCACAACTGGCACCTCTCCTAACCACCACAAAACAAAATCACAACCTCACTAGTACCATCAAAGTTGGAACTCAACAAAATCACATATCAAAACTGTAGACGCTCATCTCTATGTCTGCTAATATCATCAAAGGTGGCACTCAACATGTACGTGCTATTTCAAATCTGAAATCAAATGAAGGAGATGACGTAGGGATGGTGGGGGAAGTTAGTTGAATGCAGGATTGAGGCTAAAGGAACACGTGCACATGTACGGAAAGGCAGTGGTAATGGAAAAGAGAATATATTGTTGAAAATGAGTTTAAATTTTTTTTTTTTTTTTTTAAAGAAACTCTATAAAACTAGGGCTAAATAAAGGTATATGAGTTAATTGCATAAAAAAAATTGACGGATAAAAAAGTTAAATACATCTTTCGATAATATAAATAAACCAAAAGAAAGAAGACACAAATGGGTGTAAGTTACTTGCACATCCACTTTTCACGTGCCACTGTGCCAATGACTCGTGGGGCTTATGTGACCCGGCCCAACCGGCACACGAGGGCCCGTGTGTGTGGCAATTTAAGCTAACGTAATATAAGATCCGTAGAACTTAATGTGCTTTAGACAGCCTCAAGAATATTGACACGAGTACAGATCTTTATGATGATACGATCTCACGATTTATATTTTTACACCGATGGACATACTATCACATTTCAATCATGTTACATGTACAAGGCTCATGTGGTCCTGTACAACCATTATAATCTATTATATTCGTACTGTGCTACAGTGTCGATATCTCAACATAATCATTGACATAATGTCACATGACATTCTATCATTAAACTGTTTTAAACACAATTAGCTTTCATATCAAATCATGTGCTACCACCTCGAATTAGTCACTACATCTATTAAGTTTCTTTTGACAAAATGGCAAAATCCTATAAAATATCCGTATGTAATAAAACAGATTTCATTTGCCTGCCATCACGTGCTTCACGCTTTTAGTATCAAAACAAATTATTAATTCTTTATCATGTTTAAATAATTTTATAAAAAATGTAATAAACAGCTCATTATAAAGCAATTTACTTAAGAAACCATATCGTTTAGGTAAAATGTAAATACTTGAAATAATTTAAGATCAGAAAAGAAAATTATCTAGAATGGGCTTTCATCGTAAAGATCAATTTCACTTTTATATTTGATACGTTGAATAGAATATGACTGAATATAACAACTAACACGTTTTGTAATATTCTGATAATTTTCAATCATGCTCGGTAAATTGAACATAAAACATCGACCCTGTCTAATATATTGTTTACTATACGTAAATAATATTTTACAATTTCTTAATACTATGTATATATTTTAAATAATTCCTCTCCTAGAGGGTAAACAATTAACTCCTACAGTGAAGAGATCAATTTCACTTTCATATTTAGTACAACAGGATGCACTCAACTTTTTATGTAAGATGGATTAAATATTACTCGACAAGCAATTGATGACTACTTGTGCAGTTTAAGGATCATTTATCGAACAAATACTTGTGAAAAGAATATGAACAAAAATGTAACCGAGCCACTCTTTTGCCCAATTTTGGATGAAATTTTTTACAATGCTCCAATTGCACATAAATTTGAATCATTTTTTTTGTAAGCAGGCAAGTTGGCCTCTATGTTTTTTCTAAGAAGGAACTATAATATAACCCTTATCATTACTCTCTAATTAAGCCATTTTGACATGTTCGATAATCTCGACTCAGAATAAACTAAAATCTAGTCCATTGTAGTGTCCCACCGCATCGAATTCAGTGCACCGAGCAAGTCTTTTACATTTTAATAAAGACAGTATCTTCATATATGTTATATATGAATATGAAAAAGGGAAATGAGGTTCTATACTTTATTGACTCTCCAATATGTCAAAGTAGGGATCATCTAATCCTTGCCTCAATAGACAGCTTAATTGTTTCTATTTATAATTTTCTCTCTTTTAATTGCAAACAAATACACTCCTCCTGTCTTTAATTCTCCCTTACGATCTGTATTTCTTAAACTTGATGCTAAACATGGAGGGGATGCTGCAGAAAACTCCACCAGCAGCACTAGGAATGCACAAGAATTCACAAAAAATATCGAAGATCAAGCCGAAAATTCGTATAAGTCACATCTTTGCACCAGAGATTATCAAAACAGATGCTGCAAACTTCAGAGAATTAGTCCAAAAACTCACTGGAAAACCCACAGAGAATCTAAGATCATCATGCACCAAGAAAAAAAGGACAAGAAATGTAGCTAATGATCCAAGAATTTTGGCCAAGAAAATGGACCTGGCTATGAAAAATGGATTCGAGAGTTCAGGGTTTAAAGAGAGAATCAAGGGTGAAGAACATATATGGAGAAATGCGAATACCGGCGCAGGTTTCTTGGGTGGTTTTACAGAATTTGATGGCTTCATGAAAGAGATTAATCCGTTTCCATTGATGCCTCCTTTTGAAGGTTCTTCTCAGATTGATCAACTTGAAAACGGATTTCTATGAAGAGTATTTGATTGATATTAATTCTAATTCAATGTTTCTGAGTTCGTAAGATTAGATTAATTCTCACCTTCTTGTGTAAAAAATTCAAGTTTTGCTGTAGATACAGTAGACTAGTTGATATATATTTTGTTTCTTAGTTTTTGTTCTATCTGAATTTCCTTTTTCATTTATTTTATCAAGAAAATTTAGATATGCTCCATTTGGAACTGAATTAATAATGTTTTATTTTATCTGACTTTTCACTTAGACTTTACAAATATTTTTTGTATCCATCGTTTGTTGGACTCTCTCTCTCTCTACTCGACTTGGTCATCAATAAGATCAAAGCACTGGATTTTCGAGACATTGATTGAACAGACGAGTCGCTAGATGTTTCTAATCTGCTTGTTACAGTCGAGTAAAGCATACCTAGTTCAACCATTCGGTCTGGTTCGGGCTTAAAAATTATGACATGGGTCGTCACATGCACATACCAAGAATATAGATAAGAATTAAATCTTAATCAAAGGTCAATCCTTTCCTTACCAAGAATATATGTATATGTTTCTTTTCTTGCAAGATTTAAATTATGTTGACAAGAAGTAATCCTCCATAATTAAATGAGAATATATATATATATATATATATATANATATTCTTTACAACGTGAGTACGAGTTATGTACTCAAACTTATTTAATTACTCATGCCTGAATTTTTATCTCCAATAAACTGATACGAAATGACCAGAAGATAAAGGATAAAAAAACCCATTAAATATAGGGATCAAAGGAGGAAAAGGAAAGAAAAAAGGGAGGGTTACGATACTGTCACATTGTCAAGATACATTTATTTTACTCATGATTTATATTTTATCATTTTAGACGTTAATAAGATACATCCATTAGCTGCATCTAGGATGGCATAGCCTTATAATGGATACCGAGGTTACAATGAAGAAAGGCTTATAGCAAATACCCAGGTACCCAGAGATGAAGAATGTCGTAATAATCAACGAAATCCTTTGGGGAGTTGAAAATAAGCGGTGGAGATTTTCAAACAAGGGAACCTTTTGACTTGCTACTGAATCATGGACAAGCAGAAGATAACATGACGAACTGAAATATTTAAAAGTAAATAAAGCAAAAGTGGTTCTTGTAATGACAATCAACCTAAACCATAAAAATGAGGTTGTGGAAGAGCAATACAAGCGTCATTAAGTGAACCATCACGAATTCTACACTCGAAATGCAAAAGTTCAATAGCCGAAAGTATCACAAGCTTGAAGTCTTACCCGATTAGCATAGAACACATGAAGTCCCACGTGAATCAGCACGAACTCCTCGTAAGGCTACTTTTATGGACATTGTTTAATCTTTTAAGATATAGCCCCTGTATGGTATGGATTAAAATAAGACTTTTAGTAGATTTTGATAAAACTTAATAAAATGTATGGTAGAAAAATTGTAGGTCCAGTGAAATATGTAGTTAAAATAAATTGTGATTTTGTACCAGACATAATATAGGAAATTAAAACTCAAACGAGTAGTCGATTTCAAAATTAGCGTTCTCAAATGAGCCACACTCTTTACATCAAAGGTAAAACGTCTTGTTACCTAAATATAAAACACAAAATAGACAGGCAACATATAGGGCTCGAATATTATTGCAAAATATTTCATATATCAATACAACTTTCAAAAATAAAATATATCCTATCCCAAATTCAAACACACACTTGTGTGGGACTGTGTCTATATCAAATTGTCAACTATAGGTTGTTGACTTGTTTAGCAGTGACAACCAAATATATATATATATATATATATATTAGATGTAGCAAGCAAGTGAAGTGAACACATAAAATGAATGTAGGTGCATTCACCTACACTACGAATAAACAAAACCCAAGTTTTTAAGCTAACAGTTACAATAAACATTGACTTAAAGACAACCTTAAGTCCACGTTAACAACATATTTTATCCACAAGTCGCAATTAATTAAAGATTTTTGGGCAGAAAGAACTATCTAAAATCTAGTGTAATAAAAAATTACAGAAAACGCAATATGCATGATCGTGAATCGGGAAAGCCGATAAAAAGACTCGATGTTCCCACTTTTCATTAGGACTCTCTTTCAAATAGGTCCTAAAAAGAGAAGGAATGACGAGGCGTCTATGATTGAATTCACCCAACGCAACGTTACCCATTTTGAAAACATCTGGTGCCAAAGTCGCTCAATGGAGATTAAAAATAATCTGACTCTTTCACTAATGTGACAATGAACCTAATGTAAATAGAGAAAAATGATTGTGTAACGACAGTTTATATTCAATGTATGTTTAATTGTGCAAAATTCAAACTTCTGATTTTCTTTTTAAAAATGGTAAGATAACATCAGCAGCCCAAGTCAAATGCAGGATAGCCCTTCTTAGTCAAGTGGATTCAGAATTCACACCATGTAATTTTACTTGCATGCACGTATGTATGTACGTACATATATATTGAACCACGTCTTCAAAAGCTTAAGGTATTAGTACTGAAACACATTTATTTATTTAAAATTAATGTTTAGAACACCACTCGATACTTGTAAAAACAAGTTCATGAGGGGCATATTTGTATATTTAAGTTTAATCTTCAATCGTACATGCGCACGAAATAAAATGCTGATGATCAATCCTATTATAAAGATGGAGAATTTCTTCGCCCAGAAACAAATGTGAACAAGATTCACATGCAAGAACTTGAAAAAGGGGTAAATACCAACTCCGATAACAACCCTTACTAGTTGTTATTCACATCAACCACTTCTCCTCAATCACTATAACTTGCAACTACAAAATTGGAAAGCTTTACCAATTCTTTTGATGACCAATGAGTTTTACTCGGTAAAAGAGAGGAAAGAAAGAAACAAGAAATATTGAGCAGTAATTTTTCCCATAAGACGGGCAGGTGGGGAGGGGTGAAGTAATTTTATTCAGAAGTTACAATGTGAATCAGACAGACGGAAAACTTACAGTTACTTTGATGTAAAAATAAGACCTTCAACTCTCATAATCCGTAACTGGTTCGATCACGGGAGATGGAGCCGAATCCAATCTCGTAAGGACTTCAGGAATTCCAGTAGTATCCCTTGTTATCTGCACATAGAGAACAAATATGAGAAATATGATGAGATTACATTCATCCCTTTTTTCTTACTCCTAAGTTGAAAAAAATACTTGGTTTAACACGCTTGTTTCTCTAAGAAACGTGAAATAAAAACTCTATGTCTAAATACCATTTCCGTTTCAATTTATTCATTATTTGATAGCCTTTACTCGAATTTGAGTTATAATAAATACAGAAAACCAATATTCACTATTTATGTTTTTTACTCATCCATTACGACTTAAAAGTAAAACGAACAAAATTTGCTCCCTTATATGGTCATATAAGCCAAAAATGGTCATGACTAAGCATAAAGTAACGTGCTAGGTTTCTAAAATTTTCTGTAAGTGAGATTTCAACAAAATTCAACTACACATTCAAGGGTAAACTTATAGAGAAGTTTCATTTAGTCACTAAACTTTAATTTGTTCTGAAGGGATCTGAATCCATTAATTTTTCTAACGGACGGTCGGCAATAAACCAAAAATATTAGTATATACAACAAAAATAATAGAAGTTTAGAATCCATAACATGTGTTGGAATGTGGTATGAGAACATAGAAGATGGCCTAAATATACCAAAGATCAATGACTCTTTCAGCGCTAAAAATGAAAGGAACCCTGTAATAAACCAAAGATCAATGGCCTAAAAATGTGTTGTGAGCCGATGACACAAATACTGGCTTCAAAACACAGTAGAAAAAAGTAAAATAAAATAGGAAGACCAAGCAAAACTTCAGTCGAAACCTGAAATATTTAAGTTGAAAGGACAAATGATAGTATCGCTATCCGAAAAAGGTTAAAAATTAGGGTTCATATGCAGAGGTCCAGTCAAGAAATCTATGATTATTCTTCATGTATCTTAAGGCCGTGTTATATAATATGTACTTAACTTTCTTCTTTTTCACAATAATATGCACATTGTGCTCACAGAGACAGGCACATACTGTTATATATATATAGATTTTCTTGCACATTTGAATTTGGTGACATGCTAAGCATGAAATAGATATTTACTGTGTTATATTAGTGTTCGACATATTTCCTAAAGCAGCAATAACATATATGCCTCCTTATAATTTTCTTTATTCCATAAAACCGCATTAAGTAATGCATTTATTATCCTGCAGGTTTCCCATAAAAAAATTAACCAAATGATTTTCTAAAATAATAATGACTTACTGGTATCCCATATATATATATATATATAAAGACTTACTAGGATCTCTTCGTCCAGATAGGAAATCATAAAAAGCCTGTTGGAGGACCCACCTGAAGTCATAAGAATGCAACTTAACATAAGCTGCATGCAGAAACTAGTAGGCAAACATATGAATAAAAAATACAGAATTTACGATTTGAAGATCATGGATCGCTAGGAGCTAAAACATCGAGGAAACAAACTAAATCCCAGACCACAAAAGACAGCGGTAGAATCTGTTGGATCCTGTGGAGCTTGATTAAGTCATCCTATTTTCCTACACTATAAAGGAATCTCGTGGGTGGGGAGTGATTTTCTGTAAGATGCACGAAGGAAAAAAATTGTAATATCCTACTCCTTCAGTATAGAGAAAACTCTGTAGCAGAAAATAATAGCAATTCTCTCGAGCGCGAACCAGCTGTTTGTCATTTCATTCATTATTGCTCTTAGGACTGGCATTAGGATTGAATTTCTAATAGTCTTGAAAACTGATAGGAAATAATTTTCTATATACAAGTTAAACCATCCAAGCACATATAAGCATTGGATGGAAACCCCACCCGCCACCTGAAACAAGCTCCTAGCCATCAAGAAGAAAAAAGTTAACCAAAGAAAATAGGTAGCATCAACATAAAGTCACTTAGACGTAGAACATTATGAAAAAATAAATAATCGCAAACAATTCCTGAGTTTTCCGTTTAATTTTAAAGCTTAAGTGAAAGTGACAAAAATTGATGCAGAAACAGTGAAGTTGACAGTCAGATGAATAAGAAACAAAATTGCTTTTCTTGCCCAACTTGGAATTTTGTGCAGCATCATGATAAAAGAAAAGCCTTTTGACATAAATTTTGAATTGAAGGTAATAAAAAATATGTTTAATATTGTGCTTACTCAAACAGAGATGTTCCAAGTACCTATGGGTGTTAAGTGGGCCAGCTGCTATCCAGCTCGGCTTGTGCCCAAGGTGAGCCGAGGGCACGAGCCAAACAGTGAAAACCTTGTGCGAGCCGGGAGTGAAAATGAAATTTTTGGTTAAAAAAACAAGGGAGCCACGAGTGACTAGAGAGCCGGCTGGTCCCATATGTGAGGGCGAGCTACTTGCATGGTTGGCCAAGCCGAACCCGACGGTGGGGAAGCCGAGTGGCTTGGCTCGGCCCATTTAACATCCCTATAAGTTTCCTATTGCTAGTAAAAGAAAGACGAAATAACTAGATAAATGCAATCAAAAGAAGCAAAAAAGGTCTTGCTTGCAGGCAAGAGAAGTAAAAACACTCAATAATTATTCGTTAGCAGAGGCAGCGACTATAATTACTTGCAGAATCTCTAACCATTAGTATTGCAAGGTTTAATGTAAACAAGAAATCTTGAGCTACTCAGGTTCAGATTATGATGTCACCTCATAATATTAGAAAGAAACTAAGCGATTCCAGCTCTTTGGTCACTTGAGGCACCCATATTGACATGACATGCAGCAAGATACATGTCCCATTGACTAAACAACAACTACAATTTATTAAAAAGTGACAAGATGTAAATTCTCCTGTATCACGCAATATATGTTCTCTTTAAAAATATTCTTCTTCTATGTATTTAATAGACAAGCTTAATTTTGTAGTTATATTGAATGATGTGTCCAACTGTCCATGTACCCAAGTTTTAAGCCAATATGATATTTGTCCAAAACCTTGAATGTTAAAGCTTGGCATTTCACAAATTAGATGCTTAAATTACACCCTTACATGATCCTTGCCCTGGACTGAGCAACATGGAAAAGAAATTTAGCCAGTAATGCAAGAAAATGACAAAGCATGTATTTATAATATAAACTAACTTCTGCTGGAAGGTACAAATATGATTTTTACTTGCAAGTGCAGGTAGTCTAACATGCTTACCAAGAGGGACCTTGAATCCAGTTGCCATGGCATCCCGAATGGGATCAGGAAGTTGCTCTAGTGTGCTAGTTGCCTGACCAAAAGCACCTCTTAGCTGTTCAGGTATGGTTTCTTCATTGATCTTTGGAGATTTGAGTATTCCTTCAACATATTCCTCCTTCATTCTAAGTGGTCCCTCGACAGATAACTTGGTGGAGAGAATAGCATTGCTTTCTATCTACATTTCACCAGGGATATATGATATCATACATCAATTGAATACCATATGTCAACTGAAACACTCAGAGTTCAAACAAGGGTAGATTAGATACACTTACAAATAGTGTCATATGAAAATGATTGGCTAGTGAAACCAAAGCTGTTGGCTGATTGTGGGGGAAGCAATTTATATTTGAAAGTGTAATAAAGATAGAGATCGTAGCATAAAAGCAACGAGCATATTACCGAGTTGAAGAATTTAACATTTGCTTCAATATTAACGTATCCATCCTTGATCACTACATCCAATTTTGATAAATTTGCGAATGCAGGAGGAAACCTCCTGCAAAAACACGATGTTTGTACATCATTAGTTTTCTATCAACACTAAATCCCAAACAAATTCATGGTAGGATTATAGAACTCACCAAATTCACAATTATTATTTTGAGTACTCTCACAAAGATAAACTACAGATTTTGGAGATAATAGAGGTTTTATTTTGTGAAGACTAATATTTATTTCCGGAGTCCTATTTCATGAGATCTGGTGTGTGATAGGCCAATCACAATCCTGTAATAAGATGAGGACTTCGCGTGCATCTCATCAAGATTCGTAGCTGTAAAATGCTACGAAGATGTCATTATGCTAAGCTTTGACTTTATCTACTTCATCTTTAGTCTTTAATTTTGCTAAAAATTATCCCTGAACGTCCTTCAAAATAATTTCTAGTATTTATAAAAAGACAGATGAAATAATCAGTAAGTACCTTATGAATAATAAAAAAAAAAAGATTTGTTATTCATGTTAGTTTGTGGCCACTAACCAACTAATTCTTAATAACACTTACTCAAACACAAACCGAGCAGCAAAGAACCCATGGCTTCCTGATCCAAACCACTCGAGATTCCAGCGACCCTCCAGATAAGGAGACCTGAATAGCCAGAAACACGAAATAGACACCTTATTGATAAGTTGTTATATGCTGATCGTATGTTTGGTAAGGTAGATTGGATGCTGTTACATAATATTAAGAAAGAAAAAATCTTGCTATTATGAGTTCTGTCCTATGTAATATTGCATATAGACTAAACACCTTACGTTGTTGGTCGAGGTGTTGGATTGAGTCGCTCAAGGCTAACTATCATCTCATTCACATCGATACACTGCATATCTGTTGTTTTCCCAGTGACTAAAGCCTCAAATCCCCCAGCGTCTTTGAGCTAAAAATACATTCATTTATTAGTAATGTAATTTACAATTACTTGGTGTGACAAACTTCAGAACTCAATCATTTAGGCGAATATAAAATGTGAAGCCAAATAACTTTCCTCTTTTATAGGACTTGGGATGAACAAGTATGGCTCAGGCAAATAATATTTCAATGCAAAATTCCTAACTTTGAGCTTCAACAGTTAAAACGCATTGGTTGGCAGACACGTCTACATGCACGTGACCTCTGATGCCGAAGAGTCCAAGTTGCAAATTCGTAAACATGAGCAAATCATAGAGATTCAGAAAGAAAAATTACCAATAAAAAGATAGCAGACAGCACTGTAACATGAAGCTCCAAGTTTTATAAAGAAACAAACTTCAAGCAAATTACAATGAAAAATAACTGTACAACCTCAGGAATTCTTTTACCACAAAATAAAACAACCCAATTTTTACTTCAATTTGAAACTTGAAGAAATCAGACCATGATCAAACATGCACAAACAAAATGACAAATATCAATTTTAAAACAAAACACAAAAAACTGTTTGCAAATTATATGCACAAATACAAGTATGAACCAGGAATTTGGCACAAAATAAAAATAAAAAAATCCAGAACAAAGACCTATTCTATAGAAAAACTAAAACAATGGTGAAACGTGATTATTGACAAAAATAATTAAACTCAAAAGGAATTTACAGCAAGAAGCAGAGACTCTTTAGCAGAGAGTCTTTCCATTTCCTTCGCATAAGCAGCTGAAGACCCTTGAACTGCCTGCTGAACCATTGCTCTTATCATTGTTTTCTTATTATTAATTTTTCCATTTTGAAGAAAAAATATGGGCAGAGAAAACTTAGAAGAGTGTGATTGTTGTATAGAAGAGATTACTGGACTTCGAATTGAAATTGAACAAGCCATTGAAATAGGAATTTGGAATGGAAGTGTGTGTTTCAAATGAAGAAATTGTTGACAAACTGGAGCGAATTTTTTTTATTTTTCTGGTGTACAGTAGCGTAAAGAGTGTGTGGTCAGTCGTGGACATGGTCAGGGGTAATATCGTCAAGTGATTTTTATTTCTTATTTTCATTCAGCCATGGCCCAAAAGAAGGCTGGCTGCACTCTCTGGGAGAAGATCATCCGTTCATGTAATAGCTGATGTGCTAAGAAACAAGGAAAATGATAGATGTACCTGGGGGGTACTTAAATACATGGATATGTATACACAATTGAACTTGGATCACTATAAATACCATTTTGTATTTAAGCAATTTTTATGAATCAACAACCGAATTTATTTATTTTCTACTGAGTATCTCATTGCTTAGACTTTTTATTGGTCGTCTTGCTTTTGTGTGAAAATACTTTTAATAGCAAGTTTTATTTTTTTGTGAGCCTTATTGACTTACTTATATACTTTTCTTAAAAAAGATTCAAAATGCATTTACATTAAAAAAAAGTTCAAAAATTACAAGATAATCTCTTGCAAGGATTGAGTTCTCGTGATTCAAAATATTTAGATATAATCCTGTTAAATGCAAAATTGAATTTATCGAGAACTTATTTTTGGATTATTTAATTATTATGGCAAGTTTGATACTTTAAAATTCATATATTATTTTTTAAAATTTATCTAATTTGACACGCAAAACAAATTATTAGCGTTCACAATAGGGATGGCAATAGGGCTGGACATGGTTTCAGAATCGAATCGAACCAAAATTTTCATGTATTTAGTAAGTGGAACTAAATACAACTTGTAAATGTAAAACAAAACAAAATAAACGTTTGAGGCAAATGCATTCTGCCATAACAGTTCACAAGGACAATTTTCTCAATTTGCTTGTATCACTTTGTTCAAGCACAAAGATAACATCCTCTACATCGTGGAACGTATCTGATGGGACATTGATATTCATTCACAGAGAAACCAAGTGGTCTCTCATTTGAGTCACGTCATGTTAGACTATCACTTAATTATCTTCTCTAATTTTATTTGATTAGAAGTTGGACACCCCTACATTGAGGGCAATTACAATGACAGATATATACACTAGAGTCTACAATGTAAATAAGTTCAGTAGCGCATTTTCAAGTATTCTACATCATCACCATAATGGTATTATTCATAAGAGAGCACTAAATATTAGTAAATATGACAACAATAAGATGGTTTAACCATCACAGGTAATTATTATTCATGATATTTCCTAAAACAAAATCCTAGATGGAATTGTGCATAGGATTAATTGAAATCTAAAAGGTGACATATCAATGTGCTCCAGTCAATCTCTAATTTAGAGCGAGCTTATCGCATAAAGATTGATATGCTGCACTGCAGATCTTGAATTTTTCTTCTGCAAAAACCTGTGTAATTCACCAACTTGTTACTTAGGCCAATGAATTCTGAGTTATAAGCTTACATGTAGAAATTGTAATCACTAGCATCAAGGTCACAATCGAATAACTTCAATGTTTTAACGGGCAAAAGCGAAGAATCATTAGGAAAAGACAGAGAATAGCTATAGAAAAGCAAACGATATACCTTGGAAGAACCCTGGTGGCGATCTGGATGCCATTTTAATGCACATGCTCGATATCTGAAAATGGAATATCATAAAGCAGTCTAATAAAACCAAAGAAAACCTCCTCTCCTCCCCAGAATATGAATATGGGAAAATTGTGCTATTGGTCCCCAACATATTGTCCTATTAGCAAGTTGGTCCCAAATGATGCATTATAGTTGGACAATATGTCCTCAATGACAGAGACCGTCCAAATCTTCGAAAAATTGATATGTGCCCCTCATGGAAACCTGCCATGTGGCAATACTCCAAGTTGGGAAGAAAAACCGAGCTTCATAATGATGATTTGTACAGTATCCATCATTGGGGAATGATTCAGCAACTATATGAAACGTTATGGTCCAACTTTCCTCTTTTTAAAGGTTGGGGACCAACTATTGAGGTTAGTGGTTGAGACCAATGGTGCAATTTCTCAAGAAAATTTTCACATTAAGGAATATAAGAACTTACGCATTTTTAACATCATCCAGGTTTAAAGGACCTGATGCATTCAACCCGAGGGCCAGCCTATCAGAAGTCATATTTGCCTCTGATCTCTCAGACTCTGTGTAGGAATCGGAATCGTATTCCTCATGAAACCGATGTCTCCAATCGCTAGAAGACTTATAGTAACTAGAGTAACCAGATGAGTTCCTGTATCCTGGTTCTTGAGACCAATAGAAGTATTGGTTTCCACCAAACGTAGAACGAAAAAAGGTCTCAAATTCATTATCCTCATCTTCGACAAACTCAAAATGTCCTGAAAAGATTAAATATTTCAAGAACTACTCCCAAGGACAAAATTCACAAGCTCTAAGGAGGTTGAAAATCAATTTAAGAATGTCTGAGAAAAGAGATGCAGCAGTAAGCCCATAGTGCATATTTACTGAGCAATATAACAAATAAACTTCTTTTTCTTCTTTAATATAGTGGAGTACTATCCAATTCTCCCTACCAAATATACCAATAATATCATAACTGGTTTTACCAAATTGGCCTTAACTACAATCCTCCTCCAAAAGCCACCAATAAAGATAAAAATGAAAAGGGGTTTTCTACTACAGATAAAAGAAACGTGAAAATTCAGATCTATACTGACTTAATCATACGACAACTAGAATACTTACTTCTCCAGGCTTGTGGTCCTCTATTTCTATACTTGCCTCTCTTGAATCTGTCATCCCTGAAATGAGGTCTGAACCATGAATGTCCTGGACTTGAAGATTGATCATCCTCGTCACTGTCAGACTGCCAACTCTGATAGAAAATGAACATAAGAAAGGTTATGAGCAATTTGAAACAAAGGGTAAAAAGAGTACTAAAACTAGCAAAATGGAAGTCCCAGATTGATTGTCAACAAGGTTTCAAATACTTTGTAGTAAACTAATCAAACTCTGACACATAATAAGGCAGTTGCTGGATAGTACAACCAAAATAGTTGATTAGAATCACAAACAAGGTAAAACTTAAGATCTTTGGTTTTTGGATAAGCAACATGCGGTTATTCAACAACCATAATAAGTACACCTTGTACATATTCTAATTGAAAAAATCTGGCCTTTCCTGTCCTTCACCTTCACTTTCTCCAACCTCTTCAAGATTTGGGAGACGAAAAAGGAGAGCCTAGTGGAAAATGGCGACACAACAATTTCACTTTCCCTGCCCCATTCCATTCCTCATGGAACTAGGTGATATGTAGAGCTACCAGAAAGTATTACATCCCTAACGACAATTGTGAAATTTTGTACACTAGAGATAAAGATTTCTAAATTGGTGGTCCTAGACATTATTTATATTGCTTCTCCTTTACCTTCATAAGGCAAAATGTTGAATTGAAAAACGTAGTAATAAAAAAGAAACTGTTATACCAAGATTGGTAGGAACATCTTATATATTTGGAGTTTACATAATAATAATACTACTCATATTGTCTGCAAAATCCATTAGCACCATCCCTCCACAGCACCTTGAGTAGAGAAGAAACAAATGTACCAAAAATAAGATACAAAATGTTCAACTGATATAATAACCTGAAATAGGTGCTCTGCAAATTCACTGACATTGCGCAACAAGGTTTGTTTCCTGAACCTTTTTGAATACTGGTTAAACCCCTGCAGATAAATGTTGCAAGCAGCATAAGGTTCCATCGCCCATCAAGGAAAGAAAATAAATATTAGAGTAAGGCATGTTGTCAAAACGCACAAAATTTTATGGTCATTAGCTTTATTGCAGCATGTAAATGTTGCCCAAGTATGCATCAACCATACATAACTCTTTCGCAGGTCTAATGAGAGCCTGCATGTACGCCTTTTACATTATTATCCTGCTTAATGGTGGAAGTTTCCTCAAGAAGGCATAAAGGAAAATGGGCTTCTCAGGATATCCACCCATAGCATCTGCTATGCATGGGAAATCAATGAACAATATAGATTAAAACCTAATATTATCTCCTTTCAGAAACTACATAGAATACGCTGTTATTACATTGCCGTGAATATGGATTAAGGAGTGCGATGCCATGACTAAGTAAGAAATATACAAGTATCGTGCCTCTACCTGAAGAACTGGCACTTGACAATTTACGATATAATCAAATGTGACAAGGGAACCTGAAACAAGATTATTGCATATATACTTAATGTATAACAAGAAACCACTAGACCCTGTATAAGACCATTGCTAATATACTACAAATGTAGATGCATATTGCTTAATTATTTCTTTAATCTTCACAATCAATGTATTGGGGCACTTGCTTCATTTCCTTCTCTTTTCATAACCTTCCGAATGATCATTCTCTACTTCAGTGGCAACATTTTTTTTTTTTGAAATCTCATTTACAATAGTCTACATAACCTAGACCACATAAATTACTTGATATCAAGTGTTCAACCAATCTTTGTTAGAAACCCAAAACTCAAAACAAGTTTTACACTTGTCTCTCCAATGTAATCATAGGTACTTCACTTTTTTGATAGGTAACAAATTGCAAAGAGAATAGGTACTTCACTTCATGTTAATATTCTCTCTTTTTCCGGGTTAAAAGCAATAATTAAAAGAAGAAAAAGTAAAACATACTCTTGGTGGATCCCTGAAAGCACCTCCTCCTCCCTGCACAACAAAGAAAATGAAAATTGTTCAATTTCACATCAAACCCAATTTGGTTCCACAGAGAAATAGCAAATAAGGCTCAAGTGATAATCTCATGCATCCACATCAAAGCATTTAACTATTTAGTTGTTCCCGTGCACCAACACAGTATTCGGGACAACTTTTTTACAAAAATCTGGATTTACTCTCAGTTTAAAACATTATTTAAACATCAGAGTTGGAACAAAGTAGTTTTCCACAGAAAGCTTGAATCATTACCAGTATTACTACGAGAATTATGATAACCATATATTATCCATATTCATGTTCCAAAACAATCCAGTCAATGCTATCAACTTTATTTAACTTGACAACATATCCCATTCAAATCCAAAAAAACATGCGCAACAAAGAAGCCAGTGATCATACTCCACCTGCCCGTAAAAATGAACACGTTCTTCCCTTTTCCCATCAGCGACAAGAGACAACATTATAACAATTAAACCAGAAAGATCATGTATTTCTCTTCGTATAAAGAAATCATAGCAGGGTCTCTCATTATAATTATTAATATTAATTTTTTTTCTTTTACCATGAAGGTGAAATCTTTAACAATATACAGCCCAATTTCATATTCCACAAAATCCATCAACACAACGACACGCCATCCCATACACAACCCTATAATAAACAAACATGAAACATGTATGTAAAACTGCAATATATATATATAAAGTTCATGTTTGGTTGTTTGACGGGGAGAGAGTACTAACGGAATCCCAATGGGTGCGTCTTCTGCGCTCCACGGCGGGTGTGGAATGGAAGAGAGACGTTTTAAGCTGAAAAGGATTGTGCTGAGAATTGATTATCGCTGATGCTCTTGTAGCCCTATTCATTTCTCCAATTCATTCATGTAGGACGAATAAATTATATTCAATGTTTCAATTCTCTCCTTTTCTGAATTACCTTTCTCTTCGTTAATGGTGGATTGGATTGGAGGGAAGACCCTAGTGTAAAGGGCGACGGAGAATTGAAAAGTAAGTCAAGTCGGCAAACACAAGAGTTGGTCTCAGTAAAGGTAGTTGGGCTTTATGGTTTGTCGATAGAAATGGCCTCCGGAATTTATTGGACTTTATGGACTGGTTGGAATCTTATCAAGGAGAATTGACTCAAATAGCACTAAGATGGAATAAATTATTCATCACTTGGTGAAGTGAATTTATTTTCTTAATGAAGACGTGAAAAAAACATAAAAAAAACTAAAATATGTTATTAAATTTTTTTGACTATTTTTCTTTTTGAACGGAGTTCCATACTCTATTTAACGAACTTATATCAAATAACATCATCGACAATTACATTAGCTCACATCTACGAGTTTCAAAATTAATGGAACACGTACTGCTTTCCTTGAAAATGATTTTGTCACCATAACATTTTGAACTTTACATGAACACGATATACTCAATTTAAAGCAAAGAGTTCTATTTTGAAATCATCTAGATCATGATTCTACTTTTTCAATAAATAGGAAAATGTATTTTGAAAAACAATCTTATGTACCCCCAACGTATTTGAAATTGAAGTGATGATTATGAAATCTTCTCAGGTTGATGAGATTGAGTTCGAGCCTCATTTTTGAAAGAATGTTGAAATCTTTTGATTGTATTTTTTTAAAAAAAGTGTAAACTTATGAATTTGGATCTCCGATCAAAATCATCAATTAAAATGATAAAATTACACGCAATTTTTCACGTGACTAGAGGAAAAAAATCGTAAAACCATGAAATATTTCTTTTCAGTTCAATCAAAACCCGTGTGCTACAAATGTAAATAAAATTTGGTTTTGAAAATAATTAGAGGCTTTTGAGAGAGAGAATTGTTACCTAGAGAGAGCCATTTTCAAGAAGGCCTCAAGGTAGAAAAACTTGGTTTTTTCTCTCAGTTTACATTATAAAGATTTGATTTTTATTTCCTTTTGTAGAGAAGATTAAATCTTACAGTGTGGGTTTTTATCTGTTAGTTGAATTTCGATTTTCTTGATTATTGTTAATATTTTTTTTTTTCTCTGTTTATTGTTGGGATCTATCTTTTTAATCTTTCGATGGATCTTGATTCTAGGATCTGCAAACGGGTATTTAAATGATAAATTATTACATAAATAATTAATTGTGCTTATTGATTTGTTTTGGAATTTGATTTGATTTTTTTTGAAACTAGATAATTTAGAGTGGGATTTGCCTATGTTGATTGATCTATAATGTGTATCCATTTACTGCCCTAATCATAATTAGAAATGCTGAATAAACAATGATAAGTACATCTTGAAATCAGAACACCTATGGGGACATTAAGCCAATGTGCTAAGTCCTTTGAAGGCAATTTGTTTGAACTGTGATCTTTGATTGCAAAAGATTTGACCTAATAGATTTATCATTTTCGTCAAGATTGTTGATCTGTCGATCCTATTTAAGTTTTTGAAATTTGTGTATCATTTCTTTGTAAGTATACCATTATCAAAATTAAGCCATGCTCTTTTTTAATCGAAAAAATAAAGAGTTGGTTTTGCATATATGCCTTTTCAGACGGATTATTCGGTTTGGTCCCAAAATACATCAATTGAGTTTGAGAATAAAATTTTGCTAATGTTTCATCTGAGAAGTCATCATTTGGTGCTATTATTTTAGATCTGATCATTTTTTTACGACCACTCTTGCCTTTTAGTGTGTCACTGGAAGCAGAGTTTTGTGTTTATGGTTATAAATTAACTTTCTCCTCATTTAAAATAACTTTTTTTCTTGATAGAATGCATTAAGAGATGGCGGAAGGTGAGGATATTCAGCCTCTCGTGTGTGACCTCTGTAGCACGGACACTTCAATTAGGTTAGCGTGTCGGACACGAGTTGATACCAACACTTCTCGGACATGAGTTGACTATTTCTTTCATTGTATTTTCAACGTACTAAGAATTTGACATTATTAATTTGCACCATTACTCAACACATGAAAAATATAACTTAATAAATATGAGTCTATTAATTACTCAAAATTAAGATTGATCCATATACGATCATCATTGATCAAAATTGAATACTCTATGTAAAAATGGATTTTATTAAGAAATTCATTGTTAATCATGTTCCTATATTATATAATCAAATTATGGGCCGTTTTAGCCACGTTTTTCGTGTAGAATACATTTTGGAATAATAGATTGATGTAGAATGTGTGATTAAAAATTAAGAAAGAGTTTTTGGATTGCGCGTATAATATGTGATTGAAAATAAGAGAGAGAGAGAGAGAGAGAGAGAGAGAGAGAGAAAATGTCTTTCAAAAAATATGGGAATCAAACAAGGGCATATGTAAAGTGCTTTTATTGCAATAATCACATTATTAACAATCCAGATAAAAATATTTCATTCAGAATGTAATGAATCGCACTAGTAATCATAATTAGATATCCCTATTTTGATTTTAAACCATGGACAAATTTAGATTATTTCCCTTTAAATATCACATCGCACTAATGTATCCTACTCTATTAAAAGAGTGAAGGATTATATCCACTATTCATAAGGCACTGTTCCTAAGAAGCCGTTTGAGCCGAGCCGAGCCAAGCCGTGATCGTTATTATTTGTATTTTCCTCTCCTCTACTTCTCGCTATTTCTCCTCTAGATTCCCCCAATCGTGCCCTATTCCTCTGAAATCAATTGAAGTTCTCTGTATCCTTCTCAATCGCCTTGCTTCTGCCGTGTTCTTTCCTCTATTTCTCACTCGACTTAACCCTAATTTCTCTCGCTCTCTCCTCTCTCTCGCGACAATCAACAGATCTCCACCTCCGTCGCCGCCGGACAGATTCTCTGCCTGAACCCTAATTGAGACAT